TCCGCATGAGTGACCAGAGAGCTATTGGCGCAGTAGTTAGAACGTTAGAGTGACAACTCACAGGGTCGTCGGTGGGGCACCATATGGAAGAAAATATGTGGATAATTTATAACCGCCGAACACATAGTAGACCGGGATTTCATTCCTGGTTTATTAAGCTCAAATTGTAAAAAGATGTCGGTGTCAACTTATAACATTGAATTGTAGACGGAGTACATCATTGCCGTGCAGCTGCGAGATGTGATTTACTGAAGGGGATTCTGGCGTATGTTATATCAGAGGACACTTTGAAAAGTACGGAGAAGAAATTCGGCCTGGTATAAGCCATCAAATCGACCTTTAACTCGGCATTAAATTGAAGACCTCAAAGTATCGTAATGTCAGCCTAACGCAGCCGTTGCTGTAACGGTTAAAACTAATATATGAACGATCTAGTAAAGATTCGTAGACAATATATTGTGAATGAAAAACGTCCTCCTTCATAAACACAGTAATAAGGTTTAATAATAGAACAACCCATGAACGCCATCAAAACCCTTGAAAAAAAGAAATGGTGGCTGAGTGAGAAGCTGTTAGTCTCCTGTATCACGAATATAGTCCCAAAGGCATCGCACGTTCAGTACACGAAGTCACTGAAAATGGAAGGCAGTTAGCCTACATCTAGATATCGTATACCTTGTATAATGGAAACTGAGAAGCCTGCGAATGTCCAGTCCAGAAAAAAACTGCGTTCCATTCATAATGACGTATGAACGTCATTTATTTAAAAAGTTGCAGTGGAGCTAGAGATTCGGAAGGAAGGTTTGCAGAAGATCTATTTTTATACTTAATCCAATATTTTGCCAGTTATCACCATTTAAGCTTAAAGAACGGAGGCTATCTGCGGATTACAACACTGAGGACACATTGCATTCTTTTCTTATATGATTATTTCCGTAATTTCACGAATTTCAAATAGGTGATGCGCAGCATTGAGGAGTTTTACAGCAATGTTGTCCTATATAATAGGTAACTAGGACGCTGACGGCGCCGGTGAGGAAATTCTGTTTGATTTAGCTTACTAGTAAAAATGATTTAAAATTAAAGGCTTGAGCACTCAAAGTACTTAATTAAGTACTCCTCCATCGTTGGGTGCTTAGTAACGTTACTTGTTAACGGTTCAGTTACTTCTTCGGATGACGAACGCTCCAAATACTACCTTCCTCCCACGATGATGAGCTACAGTCGGATTCTTCAGATGAATAACTGCAAGAAAAATCAGCAGAGTCTGACAATCTTGTCTACGAGATTGACGTCCTTTCCATTGCCTTCTGCTGAATTTGCCTGAGCTCTTCTAGATAACCACGTAAAGCACGTCTTGCTAATGTTCTCTTTGATGGCGGCTTCCACCTGCTGAAGAAAACAGCAAAAAAAACAAATTTACCGGATTTGCAGTAACAGTAACGAGAGCTCGCTTGTGCGTCTCATCAGCAGATTGCGCCACGTCATAATGCCGTCGACAGCGCGCACGTGGACGAAAATCGATCAGCCAGTCAATTATCGATAACGTAATTATCCCAGCCAATGACAACCAAGCACGCGTAGAGCGCGTGTTTACGTAATACGCTGACGCGCGCAAAGCTATAAGGAAGGCCGTGGTGAAGTCGCACGCGGGATGCATTTTGTTGATCCAAAAACAGTCGATAATTTTATAAAAAAAGATAAGATATATCACAGTTTATAGGTGCAACATGAATTACATATCTCGTGTTATGCTTTTTGGTTGGTTGGTTGGTTAGGAGCCCTTGTTGGATCAGGGGTGCCCGCCGGAGTCGAAACTGGGTGCAGTGGGGAGACGGAGAAAAACCGCGACCTCGGCCGGCTTGAGCCAAAGGTCCTCGG